GGCGCCTGGTATTTTTGATAATAGCAGTCATCAGCGGCTTGTGAGCCGCTGATGACAGCTATTAATTTAAAGGGGACAGTCTGCTGAACAGTTATACTATAAGCTGATGGTCGCTAAATGCCAGGTCCGTATGGCATACTGAGCTGGCCAGCTGGAAGCACTTTTGTAGGTCCGTATGCCATACGTCCTTGGCAGCAAAAGGGTTAAAAAAGGAAAAAAAAGTTATACTCACACAAAGCTCCGAGCCGGCTTCTTCTTAAGGTGCCCCTACACCTGCCGATTATCGTACGATAATCATGGGTGATCCCGCAATCGTACGATAATCGGCAGGTGTATGGGCAGCGTGCGACCTCTTCTACTGTAAGGTCGCACGACATTCGCCTTCCGACCACGCTTGAAAAACCGGCTGAAAGTCATACGATTTTCAGCACGCTAGTGGCGTGCTCGGGAGACAAATGCCGCAAGCGCACAATGCCCGCTCAGCACAGTGTGCGCTTGTCAGCATTTTTTTCAATGCGACTTCCACTTTAGGAAAACCATTAGGTACCATTTAAATCAGAATTATGCTAGAGGCAGTGAATTGAACAGGTACGTTTGATGTTACACAACAAATGAAGATAAAGGACACTTGTTGGGTATTGGACCATTTCCACTTCTGTGCAGTACGAGTTCCTTGAACTGACCAGTTAGCAATGCCAGGGTTGTACAAGGTGGTTTATTTGACCTGCCGCATGTTTACTGCCAGAGCAATGCTGACAGATCTGCAGCCTTATGAATGATGCTTAGTATTCAGCAGAAGTTGCTCTTCCTTTCATGTAATCCCCTGCTACAGTACATTCCAGTTCCATGTAGTTACTTCTTACTACTAATGACTATTTTTTCCTTTTTCTAATTCCCAGGATTTTACAGATCAGTACGCCAGCAACCGGTAGACTTTGGTGATATAGGAGGACGCACACACATCAGCTACGTCCATTGGTATGAATGTGGAATTGCAATACCTGGAAAGTGGTAAGGAGGCTCCCACGACGGATTAACAGACTCACTCCAACTGCCACCATCATTTCTATAGAGAATGCGCCTAGCTTCAGTCTACTCTCATTACTCTACTCGTGTCTACTAATGTAAAATATGTATGAAATCTTTGAGGTTATTGAAATTATTATGGAGACAACAGACTGCTTCCATATTTATCAAGATTAACACTAAAGGATATTGTTTTCATAGGATAAAATCTCGGGAAGCTGGCTCCCTGGTTTTGGTATTAGAAAAGCAGTGTCTATGTTATTTATCACAACGTTGTAAGAAATATTTTGATGCAAATTTCTATTCAGTATTCTTGAAATAACTACATTTAAGAATTCTTTATTCATGGTAATCTTGCTCTAGCTTCATCATGATTTAATTTATTTTACTGTATTTCATGAAAACAAGGTGTCACTTGAATTTTATAACAAACACTAGGGGGCTATATACCTAGTGACTGGTGTTTAAGAGGAATGTAGAACAATCCATGAAATCTTTGTAAAGAAACAATGAAACTGAGCTGGAGTCCACTGATACAGCAGATGTTCCCACTGTGTTATTCTATGTCAGTCATTAACAATCTCCCTCCAAACTATCTCCACATTGTGGATACAGTAAATGGACAGAGGTTTCATTCTAACGAGGCAGGTACTTCATTGTGTTCATTCTTTAGTGCAAGGTCCCATTTTCCTTTTCCGCCTGCAAACATTTTAGAATTAACATAAGCATGTGATTTATAAATAGATGTGTAATTAACTTTCTACAGAATGTACAGTATATCCAATACAACTTTATTTCCAAAAGCAACAATGTTTTGTATCTGAAAAAAGCCTTATATGAACTCTACAATAAAGACATTGATTATGTTTTTTATCATCAGTATTACATTTTATTGTGTGGCACTGACATGGCAAATGTGTTGTTTTAATCAAAATGTGTGTTTGAAAAAGGCCTCAAAGAACTATTTGTAACTAAGACCCTGTTCACATTGAGCTCCAATGCAATCCAATGGGGCAAAGGGTCCTGCTGTCGCGGGTCGTGTGTCGCTACAGCAGGACCCTTTTTTGAGCGGATTTAGCCAAAAAAAGGTGGCAAATCTCGCGATGTCGCGCAATATGCAAAACAAACGCGCGATTTGCATATCGCGCAGTGGGAACGGGGCCTAAGACAGCAGAATAACATCAGGGGGAAAAAAACGGCACGTTTATGGTTTTCAATCCCCATTCGTGTTCCCCACTTTCAGATTTGGAAGAGTGTAACTGAATAGTAATGACTAAAAACACATATATTTAATGTCCCTGGAAAAGACAATTTTATGCAGATTTAAATCTATAGATTTGATTGAAAACTCTACTTTCATTAAAACGATACAACATCCGCAGACTTGTTTCAGGTCAGCGCATTTTTAATTTGTAGTCAACGTCGCTTCACTAAACTGCCAACAACAGTAGAGGTGTTCTGTAGACTATTTGTGTACAGACCCCCAGAGATATCATTTCCTGTTCATGTCTCGCTCTATTTTTATTATTTTTTTTACATCATCACTGATCATGTGACTAAAGCAGGCATTCCCCTATTTAGCACACTCAAAAGAGGAACATTATATGATAAAAATCTATGTGCAACGTATATAACTGACCTTGATGACAAGAAAAGTAGAGTCCCAATTTAAATGACAAGTTTTCTAAACATTTATTATGGCTGTCTTTTTTAAAGTGTATGTCAAGCCAAAAAAAAGTTGCTTTAGTTTGGGATACAGAAGAATTAGAACCCCTGTCTCGCTTTTACTGCTGTCTGGGGCTCCCTTAGAGAGATGTATCCTCCTCCTATCCAGCTGACAAAGGTTTAACCAGACAGGAAGAAAAAAAAAAAAAATCTGCAACAGCAACATAGAGTGCAATAAAAATCCATCAGGTGTTCTAGCCTTACCCTTCTTTACTAAATAAATAGCATTCTTTTTGTGTTTTTGTTGGAGAGTTGCTCTCACTTCCTGTCTGTTAAAACGATGTCAGCAAGACAGGAAGTGATGAGGAAACTCTCCAAATGAGCTTTGGATAGCAGTAAATAAGTGACAAGGGTTCTAATGCCGTCCCCTTTACATCTATGTATTTTTCCCATGCCCAGTGAAAACACCAGAAAGAGAGAAAAGAGGTAGGATATACTATCTGGTTAGGAATTCACACAAAAAATGAAATGAGTTTAACATTTTATTAGATTTTGGTGACTGTTAGATTCTGTACATAATACCTACTTTTTACTTCAAAAAACAGATCTAATAGGACACATCAGAATGTTAAAAACAAATAAGTGGGGTTTAGCATGTTTGACAAGGCTGTCTAATGTGTCAAACACCTCAATGATTTGGGACTTGGATTTTAACTAGTGAGCAAATACAATCAGAAGCAAGAAATAATCATTTGGTCTCTTCCTCCAATAAAGTTGCACAACAGTACAAAAAGCAGAGGATGTTTTTATACTGTTGTGTGAAGTTTCATTACAATTGTAAGCATAATATTGAAGTCTGTCTGGATGGAAACAGATCTAGCAGCCATGGTAGTAATACTGTACTTATCGGTAACCAGGACCGGGTTGGGTATATCCCTGACCAAATGGATGGCGATTACGAGCATATGGATTAGGACCGCTTGGAGGAGGAGTTACAGTACTACCAGGCGGAGGGGTAAATCCTGCCCTAGGCTGATAGCTACCTGCCTGGCTTGGTGCCATTCCAGGCTGGGAAGCAGGGGGGACATTGTAGTTGGCAGGCTGAGAAGCTTGTGTAGTGTAAGTCTGTGCTGGGTAGGAACCAGCAGGGTACTGTTGAGTAGCTTGTGATGGTAGTTGTTGTGCCTGGCCTTGAAAGCCAGTTGCAGGAGCCTGGGCTGCTTGCTGACTGTAGCCAGGAAACTGCTGTGGTGCTTGGGGTGTTGTTTGCTGACTGTAGCCTAGAAAACAAGAGATTAGGTTACTAAATACTTTGACACGTTTTTAAAGCTTTCCTCTGGAAATACACTGGTTACAGTAAACTTCACTGGGATTGTCATGCCTCCCAGTAATCAATAAAACTTCATTTAATCGCACCTGGGGCTCGCAAAATGTTGCCTGGAATCTCTAAACCTCATTCTCACAGACTACTGTTCCTAAGGTGAATATGAATATCATATGTCACACTGTCTTACCGGGATACTGCATTCCATACTGCTGCTGGGGCTGAGTAGCAGGCTGCGGCTGACCTTGAGCTGTTGGATATCCAGGCTGTTGAGAATATTGCTGATACATTTGGCCTGCAGACAAAGAAAATCATTTTATTCTTCTAAACAATAAAACAGATATACTTGTCATGGAATCTACAGCTACATTTAAGCAGATAATAGGGACTGAAAAGAAAACAAATCTTATAAAAATAAGGTATTTATGGGAGAATTGTTAACTTAACCCCTTAGTCACGGGAAACGTACACTGTACGTCCCTGCCACTGAGTGCCCAAATGACTGCTTATGTGCACTATACGTGAGCAGCTATTTAGGGCTTTGAAATGCCGGTAACCACTGAGATCGGTGTTTACTGTTCATTAATGGATACCTAAGTATTGAGGAATCCATTAAACAATTAGGCTTTAACAGACACCCCATCACTTTAAAGCGATTGGGTGTCTGACAGTGATAGCAGATAGTATGTACCACACTTGCGGTCACCGTTTGAAAGTTGCTACAGATCGGGATTAGGAAATCCCGATGTCGACAGGCTTTTTGCTACACGCTTCAGAAGAGAAACATTTAGCAAACTGTTTCTCTTCTGAAACATTGTATTAGACGTCTGATCGTTCTGGGAACAATCAGAAGCCTTAGGGCCTGGTTCACACTGAGGTCTCGTTCACACCCAGGCGTATTGCATATGCGCAACCGTCGCGCGATTCGCGGTAAAAAAGTTGCGCGACCGTCGCGCGTTTCCGAAGGCTACTTGGCTGTATCCCAATGGAAACGCGTAACAAAACGGCTCAAAGTAGTACCTGTACCTTTTCAGGCGTGGGCCGCTTTGTAGTGCGTTAGGGACGGGCGGAAATACGCCAAGGTGGGAACGAGACCATTAAATACAAGGGGATTTATATTTTTGAGCGTTTTGTAGAGCGTTCGTCGAGCGTAGAACGCGCTACAAAACGTTCAGGTGTGAACAAGGGCTGAACGTTTTGTAGTGCTTTTTCTGCCATAAAAAACGTTCAAAAAATATGCCCCTAGTGTTTTGTCGCAAGAAGCCTGTCGCTGAAAAAAGTACATGAGCTTTTATTTGGCATATACAGCTCATTTTGGCCCCATAGACAATAGGAAACGCTTGAAATGTGGGTTTGCTGTGTTTTTGCGCAGTTTCAAGGGTTTGCTCATTCTAAAATGAATTACACTCTACTCACAATAAAGCACAAAAAACGTGCATTCAAAAACGCGGTCGCCTAGGTGTGAACCCAGCCTTAGTGACACTGATCCTGACATGTTGCAGGTTCAGCAAGTAAGGATCAGTTTCCCCAAGGTTAAAAGAGAACTATGGGGTAAGTGTTTTTCCCCATAGTTCTCTTAAGGGTCACGGGAGTACATATACTAGCATCCTCCCGTAACCCAAAGCTCAGTATATCGCGAGCTACGGCTCGCGGTATACCGAGACCGCCGCAGCCTGGACGGATCCCGACAATTCTGTGGGGATCCACCCAGCTGCGAGAGTGACAGCTGGCTCTGCCTATCTAGGGGCAGAGCCAGCTGTGCCCAGCCCCTCCCCCGTTCGTTCCTCAACTCAGCGCTGGAGGAACGAGCAGGGAGATCCCTGCAGGGAGTGTTTTTTTTCCTCATTTGTTTATTTTATTCATGCCAAGTGAGGCGTTAGGCACACATATGTGATATAAATAATAGCCCTATCTGTCCTCTAAAAACCAATGTATAATATTTGTGTTGCACTTCGTAACTACATTAACTATGTAAGCATATGTAAGCATTTTATGGCCTTTTAACATCTTATCCTGTCCTACTGCAGAGCAAAACTGTCTGAAATATTTTCTGCATCCAACACTTTTAGGAGTGAGTATCAGGTGGCCGGTCCCAATCAGCTCATCGTTAATTCTCCCACAGGGGTTGGCGAATGGAACCACAGGAAACAGTAGGGGACCAGGCATTAGACACAACTGGAAGTGTCAGATGCAGACTGCTTAGTCGGCTCATCTCTGCAACAGAGAAAAGATCGGTGGTACAGGCATTTGGAAGGATGTTATTTACTTTTCTATACAGGTATCCTTTAAAGGGGTTTTCCAGAGCTTCCCTAAAAATGGTTCCATGCTACTTCTTGGCATAACAGACAAAACAGCAGCATGCAATGTTGAAAGAGACTTGCCAAGGGGCCTGTTCACACAGCATAGAAACTGCATAAAGTTTTGTTTTAGCATGCAGGGGGCAATAAATGCAGATTGATTATTCTGACCAATGGCAAGTACATGATAAACAATTTAGTCTAGTCCCAATGACATGCAGATCTACATGACTAACATGCAGAAATAAAGGCATGCCAAGTACAATACATGACCCGACCTTCAATCTGACCTGACTGCTGAGATCCTGGGTAAGGCTGTTGCTGAGATTGAACTCCTGGCGGATGAGCCGAGGAGGAAGAGGGAATACTGTCCGGAGTGCCAGACCGTTCCTCTGCTGGAGCACTGGGAGGCCCTGTGAGCAACAAAGATATGGAAATAATGTGAAATATAACAAACATTGCTAATAACAATATACACCATAATGAGAAGCCTCATCTATAACAGAGAGTTTATCCATGTGTGACAACTGCTACTGCACAGCCAGTGCTCTTACAAAATCATCACTGTATACACTAGTGGCACTCAGACTTTCACATCACCTAAATATTAAAACTACCGGTAACATTGTATAAAGATTTTTTTGTGGAGGCAATGGAAAATACATCTGTCCATTAGTAACTTGTTGAAGATGGGATTTTGAGAGCAGCTAAAGCCCAACTATACCGTAGCATTATTTTTTTTAGTTATGAAGTGTTAGAACCTTTGTCATGTTTTTAGGGCTGTCATGTCCCCAATCTTGAGATACTGCCTGCCCCAGTGATAGAAAGACTAACAGCAATATGCACTTGCTGACAATATTTTTATTTGCCTTAGGCCATTTATGTGAAAACATACCGGTAACCTGGTCCTCAGTCAGTCCGAATGCTGACATGACATTTTTATTGATCTCATCTGGATTCTTCAGAGGATCAAACGCAGACATGCTAGCAGCCATGACTTGTGTGGACGGCTTAACTGAGGAGTCAGGAGCAGCAGGCTTCTCTTCTCGACCAGCCACAGTTTCTGTGTTAGCAAAAAAGAACCCCGCTAAGTTTTCTTTCCAAGTAAGACAGACATTAAGAGTGAAATGATGGACGTACCTGCATCTGGCAAGCTGGTTGAGATTCCAGGTTCTGCAGGTGGCTCTAAACAGTCCAGTAGGCGGTTCACTTTGTTACGCAGTTCTATCAATTCTCGACGTAAATACTTCACTTGACTCGACTCAAGTGGCCGTGGCTGTCCATTAACTGTTGAAAAGAGAGATGGCATTTTTTTTTTAAAACCCATTAAAACTAAATATATATTTGTGATATTTAAAGAGAAGAAAAAAGGATACAAGTATAAAAACATTCTAATAAAAGAACTTTAACAGGTACCCATCAGCTAGTCTGATTATTTCAAACAAAGTCCTGTCCAGGTGCTTCTGCTTATTTTATGAATCAGTAAAATGCTTTCCTGAAGTGTTGCATTAGACTGACCCACACAGAATTATCAAATTTAATTTTCTTCCCTTCAAAGACTGTCAGTCATTTTAAACCTTGGAAAAGAAAATGCCTTGCCCAAGACCAGGCACCATTAGGTGTACATCAACTTTATATAAACCCTCTTCTGTGCAGCCCTCGTGTTCATTTTCAAATTGTTACCAGGGCCTGACTTCCATGATTTCATGGTCAAGGTAAAAAAAAAAATATTCAGGGACAAGCTCAAGAGAGAGAGAGAAAGGTTTGAACATAAATCTGCTTGAACATACATTTTAAGGGAAACAAAGATTAGACTAGCCCTGACAAGTCAGATTAGATAAGAAAAAAAGTAAAGACCATGAGTTACAAAATAGGAATTTGCTCCAGTTATAATGGCTCTCTTTTCCCAAGTATCAAATATTATTCACTAAAGAGTTGAAGGATTTAGCTGAACGCTCGGCTAATCCTTCGGCTGCAGAAACCATTTGGTTCGTCTTGAGCTATTGTCAATAGTGTGTACAGCAGCCAAAGTAAACAACCAAAGAGAGAGCTGAGCCGAACTAACATGTTTTGGCTCGGCAAAGCCAAACAAGCAGAGCAGGGATAACGGTCTGCTGGAGCGAACCAAAGCAAAAAAGATAAACAGGGTGGGGTTCCCCTCCCCAATTCAAACTGACCCTTTAGCTCTGGTAGGAATTGTAAGAGGTACGTCAAATGCACAACCCCACCCCAAATAAACGTGGGGTCCCATGTAAAATTCCACACCAGACCCTTAATCCTAGCAGTGGACTGGCAGAGCAGGAAAGGTCACGCACTCCTGCACCATATCAGGCCACATGCCCTCGATATAGGGAGGGTGCTTTTCCGAGCTCGCTTCAGCCGATCTAGATGTTGCAGCGGCTGAGACGAACGGCCAAACCTGCTGAGGCTGTTCGCCCAGGCCGAAGGGATGTTAAGTATGCCGAATGCAGCCAATGTACAGTTCAAAATAGCTATACAGGGCTGCTGTGAATGTCCGAACAGGCTTTGGCTCGCTGTTCTTCATTTGGCTGCCTTCGGCAGCTTAGTGAATAGCCCTCAATGTTTTAACAAGAAAACATGGGATGATGTGAGCAGATTGTTAAGTGTCACACTGATAATCATATATTACCAAAAACAAATAGTCAGAATACAAGTATGGCTTCTCAGCAGAGGCATCTGGAGGATATAATGAAACATCTTGGTGCCAAGACTCAGTAACCAATATGTAGCAGAAAGTACTGAGGCAATATGAAAAAGAAAAATGCACAACATATAAACAAAACGTGTTTGTCAGGACAACGCTCTCTGACTCGTCAGTCATTAGATACTCCCTGCACTAGATTCAGCAGAAATGGAAAGAAGTCCCATGTCCTACACAACAACCACTACGACTTCGAGCACTAAGCAGAAAACAAGATCTAAATGGCACAAAGCCATATTTAAAACTAAACTTCGGTTTGTTTTTAAAGCCAACACTCTGAAGCTGCAATTTAAAAATGCATTTCGCAGGGGGGCTCCCATCTGCTGTGCAGGCACAGTGCAGGATCTGGGATTTTCTAGGACCTCTTCATTTCAGCTCCTCTGGCCGCACAGCTCAGAGGTCCTAGGCTTTCCACACCTCCCTCATATACCAGTATGTTCCTATTGATACGTAATGGAATGCACAGAAATTCCCCCTCGTACAGGCACACACAAATGCGCATGTGCTCATGTACTAAAACAATGATTTTGCCACAAATATTAGACACCCCCACGCATAAAATGATGTGCTGTAAAGGCTTTTCAAATGTCACCCATGGACAAATTCTGAGGATCTTAGGTTTGTGCTATTCTACAAGGGTGCGCAATTTTGAGGTTCGACATATTTGGTATCATTTACTTCACACAAATTCATCTTTTAAATCCAACCAAAAAGGTGAGAAACACAATGTGATAGTTTCCACTAAAATTAATTGGAAAGTATTTTTTTATTGAAAACATGGGTTTGATAAACAGGCTGCATCACATAAAAAAAATGCAACTGCTACCATCTTATTCTACAGGGTTTCTGCTTTCACAAAAGAGATAGAGGGGGATTGATCAAAACTGAAGCAGCCGTGCATGGCAACCAAACAGCTTCTCTTTCATTTTCACATCTTGCTCCAGTTTTGCTAAATCCCCCTCCTCCCAATGTTTTGGGGGTTTGGGAAATCTGCAAGCCTAAAATGTACATTCTAACATGGAAAATTAACTGGATAAAAAGGCTCTGGCAGCAAAAAATTGGTAAAAGAAGCACTCATCCTATTACCATTGTTAATCTAAACATTATGCCGCACGGAGTGCAACATGTATGGTATATATATCTTACTGCAAGTACACTAATGTGGAAAGCAATCTCACTACAATAGGAGTAACAATTCAAAACTTACTAGAAGAAGAAATGTTTTCAGCTGTTTTCATATAAAGTAGAAACAGAAGAGTATCCACAAGTACTGATCACACTGCCTGCTACAAGAGCCCATTCACACCAGGGCGGTTGCGGATCAGTGCGGTTACCACGCTGATCTGAAAAGGGAGGTTTTGGGCGTTTAATTGCGTTTCAGCTCTGAAACGCAACTCAAAACGCCCACAACTGCGCTGATCAGCGCGTTTCCATTGAAACCTGTATGGAAAACGAACTGACCAGCGCTGCACGGTGTGAACGGGGTCTAAAGCTGGCCACACACTAGTAGACTTTTGAGTGAAAGATCTTTACCACTCGATAATGCCATCAGACACTTGGCCAATGTCAAACGAAATTTTGTTTTAACATTTGATTTTGGAACGAATGGAGTTTCCCCACATGAAAACCACATTCACTGTTAGAATTTAATTCGAGAAAAATTTGTAATTCTGCTCCTTCAAGTTTATTCGCCACTATGGTCGAAATCAATGATCGATTTGACTCCATCAATAGAAAGTCGAACGAAAAATCTTTTTAAAATCTACTAGTATATGGCCACCTTAAGATCTCTCAGTCACAGATCCACGAAGCTAAGGTATTAAATGGAACTTCAAATAAGCGTACGGTCTGTTGCCATAACGCAGCCTTCTCAAGAATGGAAAAAAAAAAGCTTATATGCCATTTATTTATTTTTGTATTAGGTTACCATGCTGTCTTCAGGGTCCTTTAATGAGAACATCAAAATAAATGACAGAAAATGGCAGTTAATACTGTATCAACTTGGATAATTATTGTGAACCTTCAGAAGGATTTATTTAAGGGGTACACTGTTTGGAAAGCAAGTTAAATTGATCATCAAGTGACTGGATATATGTAATTACATGTATTCAGTAATAAATGCCACATATGTTTTCTATGTTATTTCACTGGGTCCCAAGGGGAATTAAAACATAGTGCTACTATAGCAACTGCTTTTTGACAGCATTCCACCAAGAGGCCACGGTCTAGATAATCAATCTCTGCATTCAGGGACTACGTCATAAAACCTACTCAGGCCTAGTAAGGAACTCCAGCACCACCTAGTGCAAGAGCTGTGTAATAGGAAACAGGATCACTGCACTCGGAATGTTACCACAACATTAAGGAAGATGTGTGCCGAGATGCTGAAGAAATCCTGCAAGTGAAACGAATGGGAAACACACTCAGCAATTCATAACTAGCTTTAAAGCCTGCAGGGTAGCTGGTGAGTGCACTGAGAAATGTTTTACTTTGTACCGTGTAAAGCCTTTCCATGTGCACCTTACTTTAAAGCAGATTATGGAATGACGAGTGCATTTGCCATTTGTTTTGCTTGATGGATTTGATGTGGAGACACACTGGGGGCTTCAGCTGCCATTGTGATGTGCGGGGCTTCTTGTGTGTCCCTGGGCCTTCAAGGAAGAATGAGCTACCTCCTGGCAAACCTACACCCAATTCATCCTTTTCTATATAAGCTCCAAGATGGAGGCTCTCATAGATTAGAGTTAGGACCACAGTACACAGAAGCGCCTTGATAAGGCAGTGTGGCTTCCACATAATTTGCAAAAGTTGTACAACTAAAACCTCTGTTTTTAGCCCTAATAGTTGGTGTAATTTTTGCAGGCTGGCGAGTGCACTGGGAAAATATTGCGTTTGTGCTGAAGAAATCCTGACACGCAATGTACTTTTCAAATCTTTAAAAATTAAAGATGGAGTCACAGCTGTGCCAGGCACAAGTCATTGTTTTACTTATCTAGCTTGCAAATATTTCCACCTCAATATTTATTACCTGACGTCAAATCTCAGAAAGTTAAAATTTGATGTCAAAACACCAACCATTTGATTCATACATTCCATGTAATGAGAAAAAAAAAAGCCAGATCTAAAACTATTTGACCATCTCTAGGCAACTACTGGACCAATAATTTGAAAGGGATAAATGTGAGGTGGTGTGGTAACTCAGGTTGTCCCATGTACCAGAACAGATAGAATTAAACACATAAGATAGAGTAGGGATGCAAGGATAGCGATATTCATACTTGTAGCCCAAATTCTCCGATACCAGAACTTCCAGTCAGAGGGAGATTTCCTCTGACCGGCAGTGCTGCAAGGGAACATGGATCCGGCTTTTAAGCCAATCAAGAAGCCGGGCAATGATTCCCAGCTTCCCAATTGTCTGGGAAGCTGGCTCAATGCCGATTGGCTGGAAAGCCTACTTCCCAGCCAATCAGGATGCCGGGCGGCGGGTAATGACTCACCTCCTGGCTTCCCGATTGGCTAGGAAGCTGACTTCCCGGCCAAACAGCATGGAGCCCCTTTCCCAGGCAATCAAGAAGCTGGGCGATGGGTAATGACACGCCACTCTGCTTCCCGGTTGCCTGGAAAGCCGACTATATGCTAGGGGAAGTACCGGTGTCTGTACTCTATCGGCAAATAGCAAATGATAAAATATTGGTTCTCGTACTCTATACCGAAAAAACTGTATTGGTGCATCCCTAATAGAAAGGTAGTGTAGCAAGAGGAAGCCATCAAGGTGTCGGAACAGGAGGAAGGGCCACCACTGGGCGCATGGGGATACAGTCCCCCAACTCTGTCCACGGGACAACTTTATAGGAGAGGGCTCTTGAATTAAAGAGTTTATAAAAGTTATCCAGATGATGCATGTGGAAGCATATTGCTCAAATCTATTATACAGCAGGTCCTCTATGTGTTGCAGTTGATTCATTTCAGTGAGCCATTCTTTAATGGGGGGATAGGACCTCCAGTGTCTGGATATTGGAGTTCTGGCAGCTAGTAAAAAGAACCATAAAAAGAACCTTTTTAGTAGTGAAGAGTGGGCCTGGGATAAAGAAAAGGAATGCAATTGCTGGCGTGCGTGGGATGCCTGTGGCTGGCTCATATATAGTGAAGATTTGCATCCAGAAAGAGGAGATCAAAGGGCAAGACCATCATATGTGTAAGACGGACATTAGGCATATGCGGAAGGAAATACTGTATTTTCTGTATAGTTAAGTGGCATTTGAACCATTGCGTCAGGATTTTTGAAAATGTTCTCCTGTGCTGTAGATGAGATACTTAGTGTCTTTTTCAAGGGAAATATTTGGTGGAGATGTTAGAACATTTTTTTAATAAGAACCCTTCTCTTTTTAATACTAGATGGAAGATGAATTATGTCACATAAACAATCCAACCAAGAAAGTAGTAATGACATTCATTCATACTCACCAAATAATGTAAGCTTCAGTATTCGACTGCACTGTATGGCAAATGATAAGTCAGAACTATCAAAGATAGTGATGAGGTCTCCATCTGAAAAACAAAAATGCAATAGCTGAGCTGTGGCTACAAATAACAGGGAAACTACAGCTATTTTAAACAGTTGTCAGTACCATACCAATATTACAAAGCTGCACCATGGCAGATATATGCACATGTCTTGTAACCATGCATTACTGTAATAGCTGCTATAACACATTGTCACAGAGTACCTAAAGCTTTCTGTGGCTGTACACTCTGGAGACCGGAGACAAATCAAGCATCTACCATCAGATCCATCCAGGCAACCATCAGTTACAAAATACTCGTGTTTTTCATTAGTGGTATCCTTTTCACACTCAAGGAACATTTCAGTTTTAAGTAAATTCTGACAAGCAGATTTATAAAACAGTTATGTCGGCCGACCTATTGTTGCCTGAACAAGGATGTCCCCCTGTTGTTTTTGGGTAGACTGGAAGGATCAGAGCCTATAGCAGATATCTGTGATTAAAATATATGCCCCGCTTTCTGTTCCAGTGACTAGTGCCACCTGGGAGAGGAAGTCAAGGGATAGTCAAGGACACAAAGCAATAGAACACTTTGATAGTTGAATGGGGAGTGTTAAAGCCTCTAAATTTGTTTATGTTCTGCTACTGTGGAGAGAATTATTTTGACCTTCAAGGGAAGTGAGGGAAGTAAGGGAAAGCAATACAAACCTAACAGAGGTTAAAACCCCTCCAGCTGTTTCTAAAACTACAAAAGCACACTGCTTTGATTTAACAATACAGAAAATGTAGGATTAGCGAGTTTCTTTCAGCAGGGTGGGTGAGCATTCAGAGTTCATGTAAAAGCTGGAAAGTCAAACAGACATTAAAACAAGCTTCTCAGATATTAGTGGGTCATAAGTTATTTGGCCCAGCGTTACCCACACATATCTGAAACGGAACATTTTAGATCAAACTTTGTAATAAAAACATTAGATAAATATCTGGGGAAGGTTTCTCCATTAAACTGGAGCTCAGGTATTTAAAAATAAATATTTCACAAGGACACCAATCTTCAAAAGGTCGTATTATCACATTATAGTTTGCTATATAAAGTTAAAAAAAAAAACAAACACAGTTGTGTACAAATACACATGAAGGAGGGACTGGTTGAAACCTGTGCTGGATTATAAAATACACATTCTGCTAGCACCACCTAGTGGCAATGTGTGTCTATTGTTCAGCTTATTTTTTTCACACAGCATGATGATGTGGCAAATCATTATAAACGTTGGCTGGCTGAAAACACTGCATTTGCTGACAGTGTTTAAATATACATTAACGCTGAAACCCTCTCATACAGGCTTGAAGAAGGCAAAATATGTTCCAACCTTAAGGCCAAACCTTATAAACAGTGACTTCATACTATTCAAAAAAAATGGGAGTGTATATAAATACACACCTTTTAAAAAAAAGAAAATGAAATGCTCACAAATGTATTTGTAAAGCCTGGTATATGGTGTCTTTTATACACATGCACATACACAGGAGTGGACAAAATAAAGAACAGATATATATTTTGAAATCATTGAATTAAACAAAAGTACAAAAGCAAGTCATTTTCAGCTAACTTCCAGTTAGCAGTATTAGTTACCTAAAAACAAATTAGCAACACAATCAATAACTAAGCTGATCTGTTTTAAACACACACACACCTAAATGAAGCAAAAGAAACCGCTTCTAGACTTACCTAAGAGATGTCTGTTAACATAGCTTAAAAAAGAAGAAGAACTCCAGGCAGAATAAGCGTAATCCTTGCAGTGGGGCTACCCCTGCACTGAAAGGGTCAAGTACTCCTTTTCATCTAGGGTCTAAAATAACAAAGATACATTACCTGCGAACCTCGGTCCCACCTGACTGCTAGATGGGACCCTGCAGCAGGAGAGAGGCTACTGGAACAGATCTAGCAGCCAGCGGGGGCCAAGGTTCTGGTGAATATATCTTTGTTATTTTAGACGCTAGATGAAAAAACAAGCACTTAACCCTTGCCAGGCAGGGGTAGCCCCACAGCAAGCGTTACGTATTATTCTGCCCAGAGTTTTTCTTTAACAAAATGCATATTGTGTACTTGCCAAAACTTTTTTTTGCTGTCTGTATCCCCAAATCTATTAGTGTCAAAATACTAAACGAAGGGAGACAGGAACACATACAGAGTTTAAATCCAGTGCTGATCAATCCCCCGCATAAGGTGTTAATCCCCCAAGAAATGTGTAAACAATACTGAAAAGAAAGGAAAATATCCAGCGTTAGACCTAATGGTAACCATTTCCAGGAGGTCATCCAGGACAACATATGAAAGATGAAACCGGAATAGGAAATGGAACACATAACCAAAGTCCATCTGCCAAAGTGGTCAGCAGTAAAAAAAAAAAACTGAACGGTGTACGCGGAAAGAAAAAGAACATACAGGAATCTTACTGTTCTGGAAGACTCCTGGAAACAAAGATACCAGGAAATATAACCCTTTATCTCCCAAACTGTCTTTCAGGACAGCAGGAATTTACCAGATTAGGGAGGGACAAAAGCCTGGAGAACTATCCTCCCACAGGGCTGACCACGAGTATTACAGATCTGCCCAGGTACATGAACCTCTCCACAAAGTGATAAAAAACAAAGGCAGGAGACGTAAACTGCAGATAAAAATCTATGCCATAGCTGAAAAGACCCGATTACAGTTACACAGTATGGACTGTAAAATAGGATTTATGTACTCCCCATAAAATTATTTTCTCTTTCAGATATTTCTAATTGAAGTTTTATATAGAAATACATACAGGGTGGCCCCAAAGAGTCATATCATTCAGCCATGACTTGAGAAAGATAGACTGATAAAACAGTTTAGTAAATCGGTAAGCTCACTCAAATGCGATATGAATTTATTGACAGGAAATAGATAAATCCATACATGAAATGATTTTCACTGTGTTCATTAAACTGAGGGTAATAGTGGCACTGGATAAAGGATGGCCCAAGGGCTTTAGGTTAGCCAGAGGATCTAGTAGATGACAACTCTGTTTTACCACTGAAAAAGTGGTTCATGCAGACCTACCCTTCATTAACATAAGAATGGTGACACAAGGGTTTCTTGGCATTACCACATATGTATTCTATGGAGTTAGCAGAGGACCTAAGAATTTAGTGTTCAGGCCTGCCACCAGGAGAACAAACAACCAAGTTGCACAACAGTGCCTGCCAAGGGTGAAATGGGTGAGACCAGACATTAACTACAAGCTTACCTACATTTTGCAGGTCCCACACAAACCTGTCATTGCTGGAGATGCTGTCTACCCAAGCTGATCATAGCAGGGGGTACAGCAGAGGAAAGCGGTCAAAATGGTCTTCCAACCTTCACACAACCCTTTCTTGGAAGCTTGACCAGAATAGGTACAAACAGGCTATGCCCACTTCTCCCTGTGGTTGTGCAAAGCTGGAACCAGCAGAACCCAGGCAGCAACACTACCCAACGTGGACCTGGCACCAGACATTGTCGGTTACATGAACTTAGCCTGGCACATCTCCAGCAAGGATGTTCCCTTCCCGCCGGGGTAAGTTACCACCCAGTACTGGCCTTCTCTAAACACTGAAAATGAAATGGGCTCGGACCTATTCCAACCCATAACGAGGAATGGACTGGAAGGAAAGATAGACAAGAGCCCCACCATCAGGGAGGGTGAGGCAAAGGGGGGACGTGGATAGAGGACTGTAGATGAGAATCCTAAGACGAGCCTTTTTTACACCAGGATCCAAGCATTGTGCCTCCTTTGGATTGAGGAAATACAATAACTGACCAGTTTGACAGAAGGACTTTCTTACAAAGTGTTTTTGGTGATACGATTCCTGTTGGAGGAAGTGCCCATCTCTAATGTGCTGGAAGACAATTTGGGAAAGTACACTTTGTAAGAAATTATATAGTTGTGAGTGTTTTGAGAAGCCATATAACCATAAAAGCAAAGACAAGAGTACTTAACTGCAAAAAATCAGAAAGCAATAGTGCTGGGCCATGGCCCCAACATGTAGCGTACATGCCCAACACAACAGAGGAAGTACACCCATTGCTCCTTCTGAAGTGTCAGGCAGGCATACTTCTATTACAATTCGATTTCTGCTGCCAAGTATCCTTCAGTGCTTCTCAATACTGTTCACACTTTGGGACTAATACCTTATGCGAGGACTGATCAGCACGAACATCTATGCACTTTTTGTCTAATATGAACATGTGGAATACCAAAATGTGTGGGTTTGTTCATCATATCATTATCTGTAGCTTTTGGAACACTTTATAAAAGGGGGTTATGATACAGAAAATTATATGTGTAAATACTGCTGTGACCAGTAATTTGTACGGAGTAAAGATAAGGATATATTTATTGAGCCAAGTCATTTTGTCTCTTCAAATATAGGAATAAAAAAAGCTATGATTTCCATTTACTTTAGCGCTAGTGACATGCTATAGAATTTTTTTCTGGTGGTGTATGAATACTAAAGTGTTATAAAAGCCAATTTCGTAAATAATCTTGTAGCATCACTTACTGTTATTCTTCTATGCGGAGTCAATAGGTACCAAGTAGTATCTGTTCAGCTAAAGATGAATTTAAAAGCTCACTGCAGTATACTTGTGTTATTCCAGGTAGCTACATTCACTTGTGGGGTTTCTATGGAGTTCCATCGTAGCCACCACAACATGTGCACTTCCCCTGGGGCTACACACTTACATAAAGCCATTCTGTTCATAGCCACGCACAGGCGGCCCTGAGGATGCCGACTAAGAGAATGTCTGCTCTGTCCACCTGATTTTGCCTGACAGCTGACAAGTCACGGAAAGTCGCTGAAACTTTAGTGAATATGTGCATTACAATGCCAGTGCCCTTGGAACAGGTAGTCCCCACGTAAGGGCTTCAGATTGTGCAGACTCCCTGACCAGATATTTGGGCAGCCACTGTGACAAGGACACAGAGCAACTGAGATTTCAGCAAGGTATATTAAGGTTCCCATACATTATAAATATTGATCAGTAAACAGGGTGGGAGCAAAGTGCTGATGTCAGTGAAGAGTCACAATTCTAGTACATGCTCTCAGCTGTGGTGGTAGCCATTTTATTGCATCACCCCAACAGACGCCCAAGGAAACAGATTCCAAGTTCCACACAGAGACTTTGTGTCTTTCATATTAGAAATGCAAGCTATAGAGCAGTGATGGCAAACCTTTTTGAACCGAGTGCCCAAATTGCAAGGCAAAATCAATTTATTTACCTCAAAGTGCCAGCGCTGAAAATAAGTTTAGTACTGTATTGCAGTTCGGGCGCTCGGGTTTAAGAAACGTTCAACATCACTGCCTTAGGACCCATTCACACCAAGCGACATACCTTACAAGCGGAACCGCGCGACTGTTCGGGGGCGACGTTCCAGCGACAATCGTGCGACCTTCACCAGCGGGCTGCATTCAAAAATAGAAAAATTGTGCTACTTCCGCGGGAAAAAGGGGCCTGCTACAGCGACTGGCAACATGGAGCTGTACATTAGAACAGCTCCATTGAATAACATTAGCCGGCAACTTCTCGCGATATCGCGCTGCAAAAATGTGCGATATCGCGGCGGAAATTGCGGGATTTTCCGCTCAGTGTGAATGGGGCCTTAGGCAAAATAGGGAAACATGCATAAATCAAACATTTATACACTCAATAACACACACACACACACACATTAAAACACACACAGAACTAATAATAAAAGTGAATAAATAGAACATTGCCCCTTGCCCCCTCTCCTGCTTACCTGTTTTGCAGGGAGGTGGGCTGCATCCATTGTTTAGAGGCCGCCGCCTGATTGTAACTGCCCCGGATCGCGTACTGAGGCGATCCGGGTCTGTCGGATCTATTTCAATTGGTGGTCCTTGAACCTGGGCTTGCGTGCCAGCAGAGAGGGCCCCGCGTGCCCTCTCTGGCACGCGTGCCATAGGTTCGCCACCGCTGCTAAAGTACATTGATGATTGTCAGTAAGAATGTCCACAGATGAAAAACCATAGTCTTGGCATGCACTTTAAGAAAATAGACCGAGACGTGGGTTTCACTCATTAATACCTGGCTTTTCATTCCCCACATCAGTTAAAGTATATCTAAAGCCAACAATTTTTTTTTTAACCTTGGATAGAGCAGGGAGGAAACAGAACCCTTGTCAGGTTTTTTTTTTATTGCAATCTTCGACTTTGTTGGGGAAAATGTATCCCACTCCATTTGTCCTGGTGAATATTGTCACAGGAAAAAAAAAGTGAGAATACAAAAAACTTTGAGTTACCACCTGAGCAGAACTAGAAGGGAAGTTTCCCAATGGGGACACTTGTTCAGGCATTTCTCTCACTCTGAGGGATTTTTTTTCTCATTTCCTGTTATGTGGACCTCACATGAAGTAAAAGGGAAACCTCGCTGATGAGATGCAGGTAGAAGAAATCAAAAAATAAAAATAAAAAAAAACCTTGTAGGGGTTTCAACCATCTTCAACGCTATCCCAAAAGAAAAAGGTTTTGTCTCTAGATACACTTTTAGCAGTGGGCTTATATTCTACTATTAATATTGCAAGTATTTAGAAATAAGTCAAGACATAAATATTGTTCTGCTATTTGCTCCCTATTCATTTCTGAGATTATTCTGCTACTGTCAGATAAATGGTTAAAATTCAGCCTGTAACAGCTCCTTAGCCATGCAAACATCAGACAACATACCCTCATCTTTATACTTGATGGTTACTTCGTCACAGGTTGAAAGCTTTCCCCTAAATACTCTCTGCATCATCAGGACCAGCTCATCATAGGTGATGTCTTCATTGTGGATTGGAATTCTACGAATGTCTTCTCCAAGCTGAGCCTTAATAATGAGCTTGCCACTAAGGTCCATTTGACCATTCATGTTGAAGTCCGTGGGGGTTTAAGCAGCTTCAGAGAAAACATAAAAAGACATTGTTAATCAAAACACCTAAACATTTTACCAACAAAAATCTCACTCTGCATCTTAAACCTGTGAGTAAAGTAGAAACATAGAAATAACTGCAGCAGGTCACGGACAGCATAAGCTATCCATACACACCGAGGCAGAAAATTCTATGGAAGTGCCGACCAGAATCTCCAAAATTAGATTTCAATATAATGAGTCTCTGAATGCATAACTTCCCACAAGTGACAAAGCCTGTCCCTGCTGTCAGCGGCTTCAGAAACTGTATTGTGGGAGAAGAGAAAATGCACTTTTCTCCACTTTCAGGAACAAAGCACAAGTGCCCCATTCCAGCAATGTCAAATTATCAGTCCCTCGCCATATCTGCCACCGACACTTCCGGGTTCTCAGGCATCTCCCTTGGGTGGTCACTGAGGATGCAAGTCCTGTGCAGGCACACAGGGGTTACATCCTCCACGACATTAGAGATGCAGTGAATGGGCTGAGTGTGTACAATGTACAACGATTGCGCTACTAAAACGTCATGTAGCTCTACCCTTAAAGGGCAAGTTCACTTTCCTCACAAAACATGCGAAAACTCTGTTGCCACCTCTCCCCACCCCTCATACAGGTGAAACTCGAATAATGAGAATATCATGCAAAAGTAATTGCAGTAAGTGCTGCAAAAGGGGCCCAAACCAAGTACTGAGTACATATGCATGCTTGTACTTTTCAGAGGTCCGATATTGTTCTATGTACAATCCTTGTTTTATTGATTGCATGTAATAATCTACTTTTTTGAGGTTGTGGATTTGGGGTTCTTGGGGTTTTCATGAGCTGTAAGCCATAATCATCACAATTATGACAAATCACGGCTTGAATTATCTTGCTTTGCATGTAATGAGTCTATCTCATAGATTAGTTTCACCTTTTAAGTTGCATTAGTGAAATAAATGAACTTTGCACAATATTCTAATTATTCGAGTTTCACCTGTACTTTTTCATGCAAGCGCCAGCCTCAGGAATAAGGATCCAACATAATGCTCATAAATGGTGAGTGCTCATTGGTCAGCACGGTTACATGACCATGCTGTATTGTAATTCTAAAAGGGAGAATGTTAAATATTGTTCTCCCACATCATTTTAAAGCATCTAGTGCAAATGTTCACACACTAGTGTTATCGCTACCTGTTTTCAGATCACAGCATCTACAGAAGGTGGTAAGATTGGACTTTATCAGGGTCAGTGGAGAAAGAAGACATGCTACATATAATCATAACATCATTTGAAGGACATCAAGCTGGATTCTGAAAATGCTCTGCGAGAAGTGTTTCTGAATAGTGATATAGTGAAGTCTAAGGACTTTTCTCTGTATTAGTAACAGAAGAAAGCCAACATAAAAACGACTCTGAAAAGAACAGTGCATTCCATCAGAAAATAAATAGAACAGCTGCCACATCCTCACCTATTAAAAAGGAGCTTTTAGCCTAACAAAGATAGGCATGTTAATATTACTATAGTCCAGGATGCAGAACCAGGATTTAGATCCTTTAGAGATTGCAAATACACCCTTAATATTTACTACTAAATTCAGAATGTTGACATGAAGGTTACATGTATTTCCATTATTTGTCTACATAAAAACACACAGATATTAAAAAGTAATATACTGGAAATACACATTACGATGGGGATAGTCCCAAACCTGTCCTCAACAGTGCATGTTTTGTGGGTAACTTCACATATGCACAGTGCAAAAAAATCAAAATAAAAGAGAAGAATGACTTTAGGTACCCAGATAAAACCTTAGGGATAGGGGAAGGAACTCCCCAAAACCAAGTGTGCAAAGCTGTGGTTTTATAACAATATGTAGTCCAATTATTATATCACGCCCCATAAACACTCTACTAGAGCTGCAACAGTTAATCGATTTAGTCGATTAAAATCGACGATTGAAAACGTTGGCAACGTTTTCGAATACTCTAAAAAGGTTCATTCAGAATATACTCAGTTTACCTCTAAAAAGACTATTTGCCAAAGGCAGGTATATCGCTGAAGCTCTATGAATCATCATATGCATGGTACAGCATATCGAAAAAGAATAAAAAAGATTGGTTCATGCTTCGTCTTCGAATAGGTAAAAGACATAATGATATCCACCAGATCTTTGTCAGCAGAGGGCACAGTCTTACCTCTACAACTTTATCCATATGGGGACCATTTATAACTGTAATGATTCATTTCATTGCCTAATAATTTAAAAGATGGTAAAAGGTGTGTAATAATATTTTAATTACATATTGTTATGAAACCACAGGATTCTACAGTGAAATATGGATTTTCGATGCATCTCTGTTGTGTCCCTGCGCTCACACCCAGGGATATTTATTTATTTTTTTAATAGCCACGCTTCAGCCTAGTATACTGCCTTAAATATATGTATGGTCATTATATGTGAAATATATTTGTATCGAAGTGTTTTTATATGCATAATATTTATCGTTTTATATGTTGTTGTAGAACAGTTCTCAACCTGTGTAACCTCAGGACCCACATTTGTCCTTGGTCACTAAGTAGCGACCCAAGTCGCACTGCAATGGAACGCACAGCATTTGGCGTTCCATTCAAATGAATGGCAACACAACGCACCTCCCACACCAGAACGTGTAGTAGGTGCGATTGGGTGGTACAGTGCGTTAACTGCACAAGACTCGAATAACATTCACTTGAGGGCCCATTTGCACTGTACTTGCAAATGGGCCCTCAAAAACACTGACAAACACAATTCACACACAAATGTAATTTTTCTATTTTCTTTTACGATCCACCCAGTCTCCCTACCTTACGAGAACTGAAGAGAATCCTCAGCCTGGGGTCCAGTGTGGGCTGCTATGCTGTCACTGAGCTACACGCAAATTTGCGTTGCTTGTAAAACTCCCTTGCACACCACGTAGAGTTGCTGGGAGCCAGAATGTGACATCACTCTAGTCCTGGTACCTCTACAAGGGCACGCGTGGGAGCTGTAAGCAATGCATGTGTGGATGGAGCTCCCTCACGGCCATACTTCCAGACCACCCCACCTCAAGCTGACAATTGGCACCAGGCAGCACATTTTGAATGGCTGCTTGGCGTGAGAACTGACAGTGCTGCATTAGTGGGAGGCTAAGAAGCCTCTCACCTAGAAAAGTGGATGGCATGCAGCGGCCCACTGACTGAACATAGGGTCACGACCCACCAGTTGAAAACCGAGGTTGTGGAATAGCCTCAGTTATACACCTGAAGAGAAAGATCTCCAATCCTTCCACTTATTGTGCAAATGTACACAGATTTATAATGTAATCTATGTACACAGTGGAACTGAGCTCATATGCATAGATAGCAAATGGGTGTTGGATGGGGATAAAAAAACAATACGAGGCTGCATATTATACGAAGGTTGAAGGCAGGTTTTAATACATTTTAATAGGGATGCACCAATCCTAGTATTGGTACCAATACTGAGTATTTGGCCGAATCCTCGTACTCGCCCAAATGCTCCGATACCAGGACTTTCAATCAGAGGGAGATTTCCTCTGACCAGCAGTGCAATGAGGGAACAGGGAGCTGGGTTTCCGGCCAATCAGGAAGCTGGGCGGCAGGTAATGACCCGCCTCCCGATTGGCCAGGAAGCTGGCTTCCTAGCCAATCAGCATCGAGCCTGTGTTCTTTCACTTCAAAACACCGGACAAACAGCATGGGGCCGGCTTCCCAGGCAATCAACAAGCCAGGCGGCAGGTAATAACATGCCGCCTAGCTTACTGATTGGCCGGGAAGCCACCTCCATGCTAGCGGAATTACCGTTATCGGTACTTTGTATCGGCGAGTACCGAAAGATAAATATCGACACTCGTACTCACTACCAAAAAAACGGTATCAGTGCATCCCTACATTTTAATATGCTGTTTTATAAACCACATAAGGTTGGTTTACCTCTTTTGTCTCTTTATTTTGATTTTGTACGGTTGAATCATATATATGAATATGGTACCCAGCCCACTTTTATCATCTTCAATAAATGCAAAGGTGTGATTAATCCTCAGCAATGCAATTTAACTACCTTTGTGGATAATTAACAAAAGTGGTTCAATTTGGGGGCAGGTTTTGAAAACAGACAGAAAGCTAAATGCCATTTTCTGCATGTGACAGGAAATGGTAATTAAGAGCTTGTTTTAAGAAATGTTGTCACTTACAACCATCCATATACAAAGATCTCTTGTCACCAGGGAGAACCACTGGCAAGGCAAACATCTTCTGAAATGGATTCTGTATCCATTTCATCTTCACTCAAGCAAGCTTGTTCAAAATGCTTACTACTCAATTTCCTACTCTTTACAATTCTACCCTACTCGATTACCGAACTCCAACCCTCTGTCCCACTTCACATGCATACACTTTTTTTTTTTTTTTTTTTTTTTTAAGAAAGAAAGAAATAAAAACCCCAAAATAAATAAAGAAATGCTGCTGCCTTCCTTCCCAAGAACATGCCCACACACAGTTATGGAAATGGCTCTAAGGAGATTTAGTTGTGGGGGGAAATTACCTAGGAAAACCTACTTCTCCGCCCTGCCAACAGCTGCCCCTGCAACAATGTAGCAGTCTAGTGATGACATTACAGGGGAGTAATTAAAGCTTGCTACAGTTAGGCTCTGTTCACACCGAACGTTTTGTAGCACTTTCTGCCCTAAAAAAAAAAATCCTTCATCATTATGGCCATGTTCACATCTGAGTGTTTTGTCGCTTGTACCAAAATGCCCATCGCTGGAAAAAAAAAGTACATGAGCTTTTTTTTGGCAGATTAAATGCTTCTTGACCCCATAAACTTTAATGGAAATGCTTAAAAACAGGCGTTTCCTGCGTTTTTGCACACATTTTAGACACGTTTGCCCATTTACATCAATGTTTCACAATCTGCTTGCAAAAACACACGACATAAAAAACATGCACTAGGTGTGAATGCAGCCAATGT